GACTTGGTTTCCGTTTTCTGCGAGTACACGCAACACGGAGGCTCATTAGAATTTATCGGTTTTTCATAGTTGCGTCTGCCGAACTTAGAGCCTCGTTAATTCGGTTTAATTGGCCCATGCGACATTTCAATCAAATCTGCGCGCCGCTCTGACCGCGACCGCGCTGCGGCACAGAACATGTTCGTAACAACCCTGTTGCCGCTTCCACCGGAAAATAACCTATATCTGAACCATTTTCAGGGATTTTGTACCCGAGTTCGCAACACCGCGTTATCATCAATAGAGTCTTAACTTCCTCGTTCGCACATTCAGTGGTGCCGTTTTAGTGATGAATTCCATCATTAAATATTTCTAGGTTGGTCTTGATTACTTGAAGAGACCCATAAAGTGTGGGAGAGATTCAACTAATGAGCCATTGACACATATTTCCTGATTTAAGTGTAATTTCTAACAAGGATCTCCCTAAAATCGGGTTCTGCGAGACGATGTAAGATTGAACAAGATTAGCTAGAGCGAAGGCATTTTTAAAATATTTCAAAGGCAAAGGGAGATCAATATAATGTGCGGTGACTAGGGTTATTTTTTAAACCTAAATCACAGCAACCCCGAACCGAAACCCACCTCGTAAGCTTCCAAAGCTCTGGGTTTGAAATCATGGAAAATTGAAGGCGAATTTTGAACCTTAAAATGTTACATACGTAAGGCACAGGCCATCTGCATGTATCATTCGTGCTTATCAACTGCTAACAAGGGTTGACAAAACGCATGTCTCTATATTGCGGAAGGTTTAAAAAAATCCCATTATATTTTATTTTTTTAAAAATTAGGCATAGCTCTTTTAAATTTACCGTGAGTATTGTTGAATGAGTGAAGTCAATTCATAGACAATTAAAGTCTTCAAAAAGCACAACTTCAGTGGAAACATGCAACGTCGCAATCGTTGATACGCATTACTCTATTTTGTCGATATTATTAGCAAATGGTATCCTCGAGCATCAAATCTAGAATATATTATTAATAACTGGATACTGACTAGAGTGATAGAAGTGTGACAATAAAACACATATTTTAATGTTAGTTTTCTAATCGAATCGATATAATTTTACCAAACTAACGACAAAAAAACGGGTTTATTTTGCTGTCAAAATGATAATCGTGGAATTTATCCTCAGAAGATCAATCTATAGCCTCAACTCGGGGAATGGAATTACCATACGGAGATAACGACCAATCTCACAGGAGCAATGATTTATTGGGATGAGCTGGAGACTCAAACGCCCGGCTAAGAAAGTAAGACTAACTGCACATCACGGTTATAAGATACGTTTCGACAGTAGTACGAATAGCGATGAGTGTTCGTGATTTATTATCTCCCGTTGAATTTTACCGCCTCACAAATTGGCAATTAGGAAATTAACGGAGAAAGTTATTCATTCATATTCCTTTACTTTAGCTAATTAGCATTTTTAGTCTAAAACTGCGTTAGCGCGGACAGCGAGATCACTTAACCGTGGCTCGGCAGCATGGAAATATCGTTGCTTCTCGGACGTAGGGGCGTATCTCGATTCCCACTTGAGCCCTGTTGTTCATATAACTCCATGATTTTCGAGGCTCATACAAAAATGGAGATACGGCCATCCGTCCGAGGAGCGACGATATGAAGCGGGGGATCAACGATGCACCAACTCTTCTCAGCGAAAAAAATTGGAACTTGAACTTTTTATCCTCTCATTTGAAGAGGCGTTGATGGAGGACAAGCTCACAACTTTCAGCGAGTCAGGGACGGCATTTCTCATTCTCTATTCACTTCTCATCTTGTTTTAGAGAAATTAACTAGTTGCATTCGGAAACGAGCATAATATGTTATGTAAGCGGATGGCCTTTCTAAAATTATGATGACATTGCGGCATTCTTCTACAGCTACGCGTCAAAAAGAAATTCAAAAGAAAAAAACGTGATATTTTTAAGTTTAGCAGGAGTTTGTTTCATTTCTTTTTACTTTTTCCTTTTCTTTGCTGTTGATGAATTCCTACTATTCACGGAAAAAAATATAATTAAAGTCATTATAGAGTATTATTATAGATTTAGTAGTAAGACATAGTATGTGGATTAAAATTGTCTCGAAACGTGTACGTGTTTCAATATTGAGATCCGAAAATTTTCTCACAATGCTCAAAGCTCAAACTTATAACAACACTGTACTAAACAATGAGAGGACAGTCAGTGAGCTCAATTTGTTGAAATCTTTCACGTGTTTTGCGTATTGTAAAGTAACTACTGATTCAAGCTGAGGCTGCAATTAAGAATTCGTATTCAATCATTTTCTCGTGCTCAAGAAATTAGAAAATAGTAGCACCTGTGCCGAAAGTTTAACCCACGTCGTCTGTAAAGAATATTTTTTTAACCGGATTGTAATTTTATTTTATATAGATTTTTGTTCGAATCAGGAACCTAAGAATATTCGTGATACTTGTTAAAATCAAGGAGGTTCCCTCTGCATTTTTAGTATATGACTTACTAGAAAACTGAAAATGGGGAAAAAACGAATTTTTATTCCTATATTATGTGCCGTTTCCTAGGATCTTTAGAATATGTGCAATATTGGAGAGTGTATAAATTCGTGATCAATGTAAAATTTGCGAAAAACGCAAACATGATATTCTCATTTCTACCGTGAGCAAATAAAGTTTAGCTTCAAGATTTAAACTCATTTTATTGATTTTGAATCGTAATCCCTACTCACAACACCAGAGGTTCACCTGTAAGTTCTGAATTATTTCCCGAATTCTTATTACCAAAAATTGTCTCAATTTCAGGAAAAGGTGCATACTACCAGTAATTATAAGTATTTGAAGAAAATTTGAAGCATATTCTAGGTCGTAGAGGTAGTCTGCAGGCAGGCACGTGTAGCGAATTTTGTTCCTTTATAAGCCCCCTAAGTTTCAACGAAAAACTGTCAAACATTAAAAACATTTTTCAGCTTTAGCTTCTATAGTGATATTAGCGCTCTTTGAATTCGAAGCAGTTCTTGCTTTTCGGATTATAAATGTTTCAGAGGTGATACGAGTTGCTTGTTTGTGATAATAGCTAGTGTAGCACCGGAAAACATGATACATTTTACATTGGCAATGCACCAAAGATATACCACAGAGTTTTGAAGTATGCATAGGACTAAGCATATGCATAGTAACTTTGTCGAAAAAGTTAGGTAGAATGCCTCAGAACGTATTATCAGTATCACATATCCCAGCAAAGAAAAACTATATTATTTTCCCCAAAAACTGTAAACATTCAGTAAGTTTTGATCTAAACTCGCAGCGCATTGTAGTTGGGCATGTGAGGAAAAGGAGGAGAGGAGGAAATTCATGATCTCTCTTCAATGTATCGGCCAATTTAAGAACAAAGAAGAAAATTGGGGAAACCCTAATACAGATACCTGCATCAGAATGATGAGATAATGCCTATTTCAACACTTTTTTCAAACATGTGATAATATTTTAGTGTTCCTTTCCCACTATGTAGTTATGAACATTGTAGATAAATAGACCAACTCATAACGCTACCCCCTTCCCCCGCTTACTAAGCATTTTTTATGAGTCATTAATCAAGGAACGAATGAAGCATTCCAGAGGAAATTCTCTCCTAAATGTTCATGCAAACCACAATAATGCGTAACGTTTAATACAAAAATCAACTCGAACTGAAGATGCTACATTCTGCTCATGCATTTATCAATACGTGAATTATTAACGACCACATTTTTTGTCAATGTCATCCACGCACCAAAAATTTGACGCGCACATTGTGGTTTGATTCACGCGTCGTTTAGTCAGAGATGATGATTTGGATGCATTCAGTGCAACTAAACTTTATGTGACAAAAAAAAGCTCAAAAAAGCTCATCCATGTACCATATTTACGATATTAACCAGTGTTTCTCTAAACAGCAGTTCTTTGGGGGAAACATAGTTATTGGATGAGCCTTTTCCTTCTGTAATGAGGGTATCAGTTGTATAATGAATTTATCAACCAATCAACATCACCATCTCCGACGAACATTTCGGTTAGAGTTGATTTCAAAACTTTAAGCACTGAGCATCGACATTATGTTTGAGAACTCTCCAAGAGATGAAATCATGCCTCATTCGTAAACTTTAAAGCTGCAGAAGATTTTTAATTTCATTCAATTTTTAGTCACGATGACAAATGCATACATTCAGAATCAGGTTAAAGACTGCATGAACTTCAGATTGAATACTTGCATTAATCTATGTTCACTTTCATTTGTTTACGGAAGAAAAAAGTCCTGATTTGTGCGGCCAATCAACTAAAAGTATTACTTCTTGATGAATGTAATTATGATTATCTGTATTTAAGTATTTGGTTAAGGTTTCCTGACGTTACTTCATTCTCATCCCTACATGGTTCTCTAGTTTGGGTTATCTCTTAAATCTTGTGCATCCATAATGTATCAAATGAGAGTTCTAGCATTATAACTTAAAGGAGGCAAAAACTTGGGAGTAACCCATATGGAGAGATCATTAAACGACCGTTGAATGAGAGTTCATTCCCTGCTCCTTGGATTATAGTTTTATTTAGAACCAATATATTTTCCGGAAACTTATGAGGTATCACGTGTGTACGTTTTTGAGAGGCGTTTTTTTAAGCACCAGAGAGAAACATGCAGGAAAGGAAATGCGCTCAAATAATTTGACGTTACGAAAACGAGCTTTTGTAGCTTTCGAGGAATAGCAGCTTTCGCACGGTTAGTCCAAAACGGTTCCTGAAGGGTCAAGTCGGTGAAGTTGCCGTAAAGTAATCCATGGTAATTGCTGTCACAACACAAACATCGGCCGAGAGACACACTGACACAATTCAACAAACGATGAAAAATTTGGCAGATTTTGGAAAAATAGTACCGACAACGAAATATTTCATTACACGAGCACAATGATTAGATAGGGGGAGCGTTAAAAATATGAAAAAAAAAATAACACTAACCAATGAAATCCACATTGTCGAATTAAGTCTTCTGCTGGACTAGAAAAATGACACAGGCGCGCCGAAAGATGATTCTTTTATACAGGTGTAATTTAATTCTGTTCTGGAGCCCCCCTCTCCTGTTGCGGCGCGCAAGCTACGAAAAGATCAGCGACGGGTGCCCCAGCGGCCGGCCCAAGCCCCAGACCCAGCGTAGACGCTGAGGAGGGGGCACAAGTTCACTCACTTTCATTCGGCTCCGTGCGCCGGGCCTCCACACTCACTGCCCGACACATCGCTGCTGATCCATCACTCCCCCAATAACACTATCTAAGTACATCGCGATAACGTATATTTCGAGTGTTTAAAGCTGCCCCAAAATGTTCGGAACATACCCTATTTTAACATGTATGATTTCATACTTACGCTGTGATTTGGCCATCAAAACTAGAGAACCTGTTTACGGGAGAGTACTGCCATCTCAATCCTTCTACTATAGAAAAAGTGTGCCGCTCTTTGATTGGTCTGCTATCATGGAACCCCAAATTTGGCCCAATGTCAAACCCTAGCCCCTCCGCTCCTAGTTTGGCCCAATGTAAATAAACAAGATGGCGACAAAGTTCTACAGTTTTCTTGACGTGATTTTGGATGTGATAGAAATTGATAATTTTGTGAGTTGCTTTCTACTAGCTACATACACTAACACTACTAGCAAAATTTCACGGAACTTTGCGCGAAAGTTAAGTTCCGCAAACCTATCTCTGTGTGGACAAGACCTTCCATTTATAAGAAATGAACAAAAACATTATGAAAGAGCAAACATAAATGTGGTTTAATAATTTTAACTTCTGCTCTGCCGCCGCGTCGCGCCGCGCTGACCGCACTGTGTTTGACGGAATGCGTGAAGTGTCCATGCAGTCTTGTAGGCGCTATGCGTTTCACGTCGACCGCTGCTGACCGCGCTGTGTTTGACGCAATGCGTGAAGTATTCATGCAGTCTTGTAGGCGCTAATGTGTGTTAAATGCCGACCGCTGCGCCGAGGGCTTCTCCTTCACATTTCAAGTCCTCGTCATCAATGCTCTCTGCGCCGCGCCGTTCCAGACTCGACTAATTAAAGGTTCTGTCTCTTGTATCGCCGAAAGACGATAAAATTAGAACTTACCATACTCTCTGGAAATGAGAGATTTTGTTTGTGATTTTCCTGTTTGTAATTTTTTTTCTGAATCCAATTTTTGTATACCTACATTTAAAACATTGCAAAATTTGCCGCCCCCTAAAATTGCCGCCATGGGCGGATGGGCCGCGGCCCATATGGCTACCCCCTAAATCCGGTCCTGATGCCACAGAGAAGTAGTTAAATTAAAAACCCAATAAATTCGTTGTTAATAAGAAGTAACATGCAATAGAGGGTTGCAGTCTACTAATGGGTCTGTTTGCAAGCAAGAGATAAAGCCAAACGAATATACATCTAATGAGGGAAAATTCGCACGAAAATCACGCTGTGTACATCAAAAAAATCTGAAATCCACTCCTAAGCTTGCAATCTGCTTAGTTCTCTACACTTTTCACACACGCGTCGTTTTCCGCATCTGCGGGCAGTTTTTCTTTGTGGTCGGCAGTCAGGTTTGCCCGGAGACAGATCGAACCTAAATAAACGAATAATCTAGCAAACTGTGATAAACTTTCCTTGCGGAAGATTTCAATTGATTCAATTTTTTTTTCTGCAAAATAAAAAAAGAGAAAGAAAACTAACGCTTGAATACAAATGAAATCATACATTAGAAAAAATAGTTAATCCTCTATTATCTTTGGGTAGTTCTTTCTTACTTCTCTGCTTGTGAAATCCTGACTGCCAGCCACCAAGAAAAACTGATGACCGCAAATGTGGGAAACTTGAAAATATGTGTAACAGTCTACGCAGATTGCGCGCTAAGGAGCAGGTTTCAGACTTTTTTTTAATGTGCCGAGCGTGATTTTCGAACAAAACTCTAAACAATAGTATTCAGTTGCCTGTATCTCTTGCTATACTGTCATGCTAAGGAAGAAAGCCGTATGAACATTTGGGAATTGCCAAATTTCCTTCCATAAAATGTTTATTTTTGACAAAAGCTATGAATATTGTTCTTTGAAATGTTCAGACATTTTAGGTGAAAATGTGAACAAAATTAAATGAAAAATTAGAAGAAAAATATTTACAAATTTCCCCGAGAATTCGTGATTTACCTACATAAATTTGGCAACGCCTAAAGGTTCATACGGCGTTTTCCCTTAGCACAGCAGTGTACGTCTAAAGCTCAGCGGATCCATTCATGAGGAAATCCATAGACGTGGCAACTTGGAGGAGGACAAACTCTCTGAATTAGCATGATCCATGTCATTCCCTCATTTCACTCTTTTCCACAATTGTAAAACGATGTTTTTATTTTTCTTATTTTTATGCAATCCAAATGTGGGTCGCGGCTCTGCGACAAGCCGTTCGCGCTCACTGGTCAAACAAGGATGAGTTTAAGATGTTCTCGTGTTCCCAGCGAGACGTGCGGCTCCCCGGACGATCGTTGCTCGGGCAAAACCGCATAAGAACATAGGGGCTATCACTAGCGTTGAGCGGTTTTTCCCAGCGTGGCCGGGAGCTTTGCGAACTCAATCAACGCCAGAGTTCACGACATCACGCCTCGGCCATTGTTTCTCGCGCAGCCCGTTCCGTTCCGCCGTGCCGCGCAAGAACCGCGCAAGTGCGGTGGAAACTCTAAGTGGAATACGCGGTTTTTCACGCTCGTTTGTTTCCTGTCCTCCGCCGAGCGTCTCGCTGGCTTTACATGATTGCGTTCACCCAGTTGTCCTACGTGATTTTTCCCGCCAACCCGCCCCGCAACTTTTTACCTTTCACCGAGAAAAGTTATTTCGTTTAATTTATGGCGCACTCACTCAAGCACCTCGTTCGGCCTCTCAGTGCCGCGTTGGTCACATCACGCGGAGAAAAAAGAATTGCACTTAGTGACTACTTAACTGTTTGGGTATGCTCCAAGCAATGTAGTTGCCACCGGACTCCAGGCTATGTGCGTCTTCTGGTGCGTTTTAGTGCAAAGTACAGCGGAAATCGTACCGGGAAAAAGTGTTTTGAATCCGGAGTCCAGACTTTGTCAAAATTTAAAAATTTGACATAAAATAATAGTGCCGTGCTAAGGAAGAACGCCATACGAACATTCGAGAGCTGCCAAATTTCCTTTAATAATACGTTTATTTATGAAGAAGATTATGAATATTTTTCCTTGAAATTTTTAGGAACTTTAGATCATAATACTAACAAAATTCTCTGAAAAATTGGAATACAAATATTCATAGGTTTACCAAGGAATTCGTGTTTTATCAAAGACAATTTGGCAACGTTTGAAGGCTCAAACGGTCTTTTTCTTTAGCACGGCAGAATACTGTTGATTCAATCGGATTTTTGCTTGGATCGAGAGCCAAGCCTCTTAATATAAGCGGATTTCCTTTTATTTCAAGCAGAAACCCGATTGAATCAAGAGTATTATTTCATGTTAAATTTTTTAAGAGTCTAGACTGTGGATCCAAGGCACTTTTTATCCCAGTACGGATATGACGGTATCGCTTATAATGAAGTCAAATCTAGTTGTATAATTGTAGTTACAATTTTACTTCAACAAACTACGACAAGAAAATTAGGCGGGACCATAGAATCCTCCTTGAGCATTGAAAAAAGAGACGTTTTCGCCTTGGCAAACCACCATAATCCTCGCATTGATCTATTTCTAATGTTATTCTATAGTATTTTATTCAAGGTCCAAAACATTTGACCATTTTTGCATTTGTGAAATGTTCTGCCTGAATTTTAATGAAGGAGAAAACACGTCACCTGCCGCGCTAATAACAACGCCGTATGAACATTTTAACATTGCAACAATTCTCCGGATAAAATATTTTAATAAGTGTTTTCATTGGAACTTTTCAGTTTTTCAAGGTGAGATCTTAAATAAAATTATTCACAAATGTTTGATAAAACAATTCACGAATTGCTTCGGAAATTCATGTTTTATCAAAAAAAGTTGGCAATGTCTGAAGGCTCATACGGCGTTTTTCCTTACCACGGCTGTCTTGTGGTGCTTAATTTTTTACCCCATCTAGCGGTCGATTCCCGCAGTATTACGGCAAGGCTCACAGTGAAAGATTCATTATTTATAGTTACCCATCCTTGGCTAGGAGTAGGGCGATGAAAGATGAGCATCATTGAGAAATGCTCAAGTTCAAGACTTTGAGTGAGCTAACGCGAACGCGATTAAAAAGCGTAAGCGTTGCGACGAACGCGACCATCTAATTAAATTTCGTAAGTTTTCGTCATACTTTTGCCTGTCCTACAGCGCCCAAGAGCTCGCAGCCTAGACCAACTTAATTATCAGGCAAGAAGGAATCCTATTCTGAACTTGAGAGATTTCGTTTTCATCCACAATTTCTTATGTAACAAAGCTGCTCTTATTCAAAAACTTGTGTTTCGCTTTCTGCTCATTAATCATCATTATTTCAAAAGGCTTTACATCGTTATCAATAAGGAATAAACGTTAAATCTACTTTCGAATTTTAACTCTTGTCCAATCAATAGGAAAAAAAACACATTTGATCCAGAGTCCAGACTCTTAAAAACATCGACAAGAAAAAATACTCTTGATTTAATCGGATTTAAGCTTAAATCAAGAACCCAGCCTCTTGATTAGAGCGGATTTCCTTTTGATTTCGGCTTAAATCTGATTGAATCAAGAGTATTTTTTCTTGTCAATGTTTTTAAGAGTCTGGACTCTAGATCCAATGTGGTTTTTTTTCCAGTGATGAGTACCTATGTCGTTGTTGATTTTTCTCATATAGCAGAGCCGCGAGGGATAAATTATTTTAAAAAAGCTTATTAAACTTCAACGTAGAAAAATTTTACTCGCAGATTGCACTTCAGCTACGAAACTGTTTGGCATTATTATAATTGCGAATTTCATTGAGATTTTCTGATTACACGCATACTTAAAAAAAAAAACAAAAAAACTTTGGACTGTATGACAATGCTTAATCATAGTCTTGTAAAAAAATTGGACAGTTTGAGTCAGTTTAGTATTTTAGAATGGACCATTGTCTGGAAAACGACGCACAATGGATCGAGTCAATTAGAGAGGTCAAACATGAACTTTTTAATTAAAACTGCAAATTTCGATGTTTACTTGGTCACATTTTAAATTTTCAAGAGTGGTTTTGGAAGAAAATTTCACGAGGAAACCAATGGAGCCACTTTTAGAGCCTCAACATTTTGTATAAACGGAGTTAGAAGCGTTTAAAGTTTCCAACTTTTGTCCGACCTCTCCCATTAACTCGAACCACTGTGCGACGTACCATAGCAATCTACGATCTAAACGTAAAGAGGATCGTTCAACCAAAATCCTCATGATGCAAATGTAACCAATGCTGCATGGACACAACTGGCAAGTCCTCCATTGCCTGACTGAATGCACAAAAGTCATACATAAAGATTAACAGCTTGTGTTTTGCACGGGACTTTTTTCCGCAAGATTGAACTTTACGGTGAGAAATAGTAAAGACACAGAGGCGATGAAGAAGAACGAAGGGGCGAGATGGAGAGAGTGACCGCTGGTCGCACTTTCCCGGAAAAACTTCTCTCATTTAAATTCAACTCAAACAGGGTTCACGCACCGGGAGGCTGTCCACGAAGAATTGTTCAGTTACGGTAAAAGTTATTTTCATATTGAATAATTATTTCATACAATTTTTTTTAAACTTCATCACTGGATAAAAAACACATTGGATCTAGAGTCCAGACTCTTAAAAACATCGACAAGAAAAAACACTCTTGATTCAATCAGATTTAAGCTTAAATCAAGAAGCAAGTCTCTTAATTTGAGCGAATTTCCTTTTGATTTAAGCTTGAATCTGATTTCATCAAGAGTATTGTTTCTTGTCAATGTTTTCAAGAGTCTGGACTCTAGATCCAATGTGTTTTTTTTCTTTTTTTTCCAGTGATTGGCTTCTATCCTGTCTATCTGGTAACCTAGGAATCTACAGCCATCTATAGAAATAAGCTTTAACATAGAGGCTATTTTGTTGTCAGTAGACATTAGGGGGGTTTTGGCACATCCATGCTTCGGCTTTCAAATTTTCAGGGATTAAGGTCGAGTTTAGAATCCGTTTCTCCAGATCCACTCGTCAGTTCCGAGAAACTTTAGCGGATTACGTTTCATTTAGCCACAGCTCATTTAGCCACGTGGCAAAATGCAACAAAAAATGTTGCATCTTGCCACAGATTTTAGGTGCTATGTGGCTAAACGAAACGAGAAAAATTAGTGTGGCAAAAGTGGCAAAGTGCAACAAATTATGTTGCAGTTAGCCACATGGCCAAAGGATAAAACCAGGTAGCTGCATTGCAGCGTTACCGGACCTAATCGAAGCGAACTTGACCTAACCTAACCTAACCTAACATAACATAACATAACCTAACATAACCTGATCTGACCTAACCTAACCTAGCCTAACCTAACCTTACCTAGTGACCTAATCTAAGGAAAGAGAGCTGGATGCATGTAGTCAATAATTACTTCGGATATTTCCTTATTAGTAGATTTTCATGTATTTCAGCGTAAAGTAGAATCAGTATTACATTGGTCACTAGTGGAGGTTGGTAAAATTATTTTAAAATAAAAAATGTTTTCAATACATACGAATGGTTGTTTATACTTTTTAATCTATTCCAGATCTTCAATAAAATCACTTACACTGCAGTAAAATAAGAATGGGAGGATAAATAACAATTTTTTTTGCTGAATTTGGTAGGCCATTCCAAAGACTGTGGCTAACTGCAACAATTTTTGTTGCATTTAGCCACACTAATTTTTCTTGTTTCATTTAGCCACACAGCACCCTGAGTTTGTGGCAATTTGCAACAATTTTTGTTGCAGTTCGCCACGTGGCTAAATGAGCCGTGGCTAAATAAACAGATACCACTTTAGCGCACCGGGATTCGAATCTGGGACCAATTGGAGTCAGGCGCGCTGACCGCTAGGCCAACCTGACCGGCTACGAGAATACTTGCTTCGTAATTTTTAAACTTTTCTGTTACCGTGATTTAAATTATTATATAAGCGTCTCATTGAGATTTTGTATGCGTTTTTTTTTTGTGTCTCAATTTTTTTTCATGCGTGATCTCTTCCATTTCGCGAACTTCACCAAAATTACAATTGACAGTAACCGTGTGTTAGTAAACGAGCCCGATCGACTGCACAAATGTATTCGTACGAGTGTGAGATTTCGCAATTTAAATCGACTTGTTTGCAAAAATCTAAGCGTGGGCTTAAACTGGGCAAAAAATGTCGTATGGTACGCAAGACGCACACATACGCTAAGTTATGTCGACAGCTGATTGGCGCCGGCGACAGGAGTGGCAATATGCCGTTTTAACTCTGATGTAATGACTCCTCAATTTATCGATTGTTTTGTTTCAGCCTAAGGAGGTGTGTATTTAAAATTCCCAAAATCTTGCGGCTCATTGCGAGCCAATTAATATGCGAACTCTGAGTTGCCAAGTTGCACAGTTGAATATGAGCTTTAACTTTGACTATTCAATTAACTCGAATTCAATTGACTCGAAATAACTTCAAATGACTTTAACTACTTTATTTCGATTTCTGAAGTCTCATTTGACTCTATCTAAGAGTCAAAAGACTCGACTCATCATCAATATGAGAAAAGACTAATAATAATTTTTTACAGTGTAATGTTTGTTTTTTTTTGTTTTTTTTTTGAATATTTATTAAGCACATCTTTGTTGTTACAAATTTAGCACTGTTACTTTATAATGAAGAATATACAGGGTGTACCAAAAGTCCGTCCCACCCCTGCTAACTTTTGAACGAATTGAGCTAGGGTAATGAAACTTTGGGAATGTTCCTATCTCGAAGGAGACCATCTTTTGGGGGGGGTCAAAATTTTGGTCCCCCCTCAGGGGGGTGCGGGGGGCCCTCAACTTTTTTTTTCAAATGGCAACCCCTATCTTGTGATACATCATTCGAAAGAGCATAAAAAACTAAGAATTTTGGCGCAAACCGCAGATCAATATCTTAATTTTTGACCGAGTTATGATAGGTCAAAGGTCAAATTTGACCTATTTTCAAAAAATCATAACTCCGGTTCAAATTATCGTAAAGAAAAAAATAAAACGGGAAAATCTACCAAATTGTGTCCGCTTTTAAGTAAAAATTGCAGAAATCACTTCCCTGTAATTTTAAGGGGGGGCTCGGACCCCCAAATACGTCAATTCAAAGGTCATTCAATTTTCCCGCGGAAAAAGGCAATTTCCCCTAGATTTGCCTCCACATTATCTCAGTAAGGTCAAAATTAGTTCAACATTACGTTGGCAAGTCCCCAAATTTCGGGAAAAGTTTAAAAAAAAAAGAAATTTAAGGTGATTAAATTTGACCGTAATATATATATATATTGACCGATATATCTTTATTGCAATTTTTAACTACTGAATTTATTAATTTTTATCATTATAATAAAATAAAAGTTAGAGTTTTTATATTTATCTCTTTATTTTTATTTATTTTGATTATTAATATTTTAGGCTTGGTTCCTTATATTTTCTCTTGTTCTGCACATTTTGTGTTTTCTGTTAGTTTTGGATTTCCTTTTTGGTTGGGTTTTTTAATTTTGGGTTGATTTAACTTTAATAATAAGTGTTTTTCTCATTTAGTTCCTTTGGGTACTCCTTTAATTTTAATCTCTTTTATAGTATTAATCGAGACTGTGAGAAGGTTTTCATTCGAAAATGATGTATCACAAGATAGGGGTTGCCATTTGAAAAAAAAAAAGTCGGGGGCCCCCTGCGCCCCCCCTGAGGGGGGACCAAAATTTTGACCCCCCCAAAAGATGGTCCCCTTTGAGATAGGAACATTCCCAAAGTTTCATTACCCTAGCTTGATTCGTTCAAAAGTTAGCAGGGGTGGGACGGACTTCTGGTACACCCTGTATATCTTAAAGTTAGTTAACTAATGAAATGCTGTGGAGGTGAAGAAGATGAGTATATGAGAACTAGATTAGAACTTAAGAAAAGATTAACTAACTACGAATACAATTACCTAATAACTTAATACTAGGTACATTTTTACAAAGACATAGGAAAAACTGTACATACAAAAGATAAGTTAGTAATAAACCATGTACATACAGAAAAATGTCTTTTATTTCACTCTTGCGAGTTACTAACCCTTATTGTGGTAGATAAACAAAATTAGCAATCAATATAATCTGAAATGAGATCAAAAGGCTTACGTCTTTTGAGTCTACGAATTATGTTAGAGTTATCGAGGAGGGAAATTGCCTCGACATTAGGGTGGAATCCTAAGCGGCGTTCATAATTTTCCGTCAGCTCCCGAATGTAACTCTTCACTGACGCGATGCCTAAGTCCTTGTGGATATCAGAATTTCTGATGTACCACTCGGCGTTAACCATCTGTCTCAGTGTTACATTCTGGAACGTCTGGATCCGTTTGATGTTTGTATCTGCGGCGCATCCCCAAAACATGCAAGCATAACTCCAAACGGGCCTTAAAATACACTTATAGAGGAGAATTTTGTTATCTAGGGATAGCTTAGAGCCACGCCCTAGTAACCAGTACATCCTCTTGCGCTTAGCCTTAAGTTGTTTGAGCTTGGACTTTATGTGTTCTCCCCACTTGAGCTTTCTATCGAGGATTGCTTCAAGATATCTAGCCCAGTCGCAGGGAGGGACTGGCTTCAAATCTAGAAAGACAGGCTTCCGACCGACCTTTCTGTTTGAAATGATCAGATGTTGCAATTTCAGGCTATTCAGCGCTACTCTCCAAATTTTCGTCCACCTGAAAACGCTATCCAGGGACCCTTGCACTAGAGCGTTAGCTTTAGGCAAGTCGTCGCCTACTCCTACGATAGCGGTATCGTCCGCAAATGTACCCAAGTCAGTATCGGGATTAACTGGAATATCATAAGTGAACAACAGTGTAATGTCTGACTTTGCATTAAAAGAATTTTCATAATTGTAGATTGAATATGACTTTGAAATAAGCCTCCAATGAAAGAAGTTAATATTCTCGCACGTTGTTAATTTTCCTTTGATCTGCATTATTTCACAATCTGTAAGTCTCTACATCATCCCTCTTGATACAGTTATACCTGAAAATCTATCAAAAAGATTCCCACGTTGTGTCACGAAATGTTTAGCTTTAAAAAAAAAAAAAAATAATAATATTTCCTCTGGGGCATGATTCTGCAACTTTTCATCAGTGTTTTCTTCTTTGAAAGAGTGATTACCAAAAATTTGGAGTTTCCCGAAAAAAATGTCGGACTCTGTGTTTATACGAATGCCACAACATAAAATTGGGGTCCCCCAGAATCCAAGATCCAAAGTCAAATAATTTCGTGGAGGATAAAGTATAGCTTTAATATTTTAATGACCATTTGACCAATACTCTTTGATCCTAACTGAACAATTTCATTCATGCGTGAACTATAATTCGTTAATTCCATCATGTTCAGTCTTTGCTGTTGCTCCACTGATTTTGGATGTAAGTAACTCGAGTGGAAACTGTCAGTTTACGTAATCGCTGGAAGGTGGGGAAAAGAATTGGGTCCCGCTTTGTTTTAAATTAGAGGAACAAGCATGGGAGAAAGATGCACTCGAAAACAGATGCACACAGGAGTCACGTAATAGACGTGGGATGTTCTGATATGTCCAACAGATTTTGTTAGATGTTAAGAGGCGAAAAGTAGAAAAACGGCCTTGAGCACCTGTGAAATCAACGCGTCTCTGAAAAAATACATAGGAAACGTCGAGAGATTCTTAAACTTGATCTAGTTTTTACTGTTGTTGTTATTTCATAAATTTATTTATTCCTGATCATGAAAAAATGGTAAGAATATGGTTCATCATAGTTTATTTGGTGCGATACGTGAATAGAGTTAAGCAAAAACGTCACATCCACACTGCAATGTTTTAAAATCTCATTTCCTATTTTGATTTTTTGAAGGACTTCAGCCAAAACTTTTGCTTATCACTTTGTTGAAATAACCTTCATGTGTGCATAACAAATCGCAATAATTTCCGAGTGGGGATGTTGGTTGGTTTCCCTCCGAATAATTCAAAAAGACATGAGAGTCTAAAATACAGCAATGAAGTCGTGACTATTTTAACTTAATCCATATAGTGCCATTACAGCAAATAAAGTAGCAACTGTATCTCCGAGACTACATATTTTTCATTTAGTTAGCTAACCATAATATCGTGAATTTGACAAAGATAAACAAATTCTACACTTTAGGCGTGATACATTTTGTTTTCAAGATGATTAATAATTAAATCTTACTACCACTATGTAGACCACCGATCGATGTATTGATCAACAAGTGAATTCATTGAGGATTAAGCTTGGCTGTTTCCAATGCAGTGGCGTGCCGTGAATTGCGATGTATCGATTGTTATGCGATTCAAACCTATAGAAAATGATCGATAAACAGGGTGTTCGCAGCGAACACCTTAATAATTTATTCTTTTCCATGGGTTTAAATGGCATAATAATCGATACATCGCAATTCACGGCACGCCACTGTTCCAATGAGTTGGAACCTCACAACGCCAAAGTGAATCAAACGTCCGATTAAATCAATTGAAAATATTATAAAATGTTAATACCGGTACAAGTATTTTAAGAGAAGTAATTTTAAAAAAAATAAAATAAAAAAAATGAAAGAGAGGGTGGAGGGGAGGAGAGGAGGGAAACAGAGGCAAAAATCCGCACTATACTATCAGAAGGTTCTCAAATCCGTCTATTCTGTCATTTTTATATGTTTCTCCAGCTGTTGTAAATCACATCATGCATCGGAAACTAAAGTTAAAGTAGAACTTCAAAGATCAGCTATTTGCACCAAGATCACTCTTTTACGATCACCATAAACCGCGGTCTGGCATCCTACAATCCCAGTGATTGGATACAGGGCGAGAGCCACAAAACGGATAGCCCATTTAAACAGCTAGAGGGCTAGTGCGCATGCACTGTCCATCCAGGTTATCTCAAGGAAGAAACATACTTTTTCATCTAAAAGAGAAGAATAAGCCGTAGTTAAGTGCATTGCAGCACAATGGACTGCGAGCAATTTTGTGAGTTCTCAAAGCATCTGGTAATTTGCCACAGAGGTAGGCGCGGGTTCGATTCATCTGATGAGTACGTAAAAGGACGCGGCATTACACTCGCGCCCGTGGAGCGTTAACCCGAGGGTCAGGCGCCCAACTTGCCTGTCGGCAGGGTTACGAGTAGCGTAAGTGCGTGCTCCCCTTTCTCCGCGTTACGTTACGTGCGATCCGAATGTGCTCAGTAAGCAGACTCTTCGAATTTTACGGTCCTTACGGGTGACCAAAAGGCGGGCTCGATGTTGAGATAATATTATGGCACGCTTCCGTGTGGTAAAATATTTGCACATGATCTGTTCGCCCATTATTTTTTATTGCTTCGGCTGCGACCGCCGGACCGCCGACAAAATTAAGGTCCTCGTTCGGCCGAAAATGAACCGGACTAACCATGGGAACGTTTTATACTGTTGCTGATGATGTGGTTCTTCAGAAATTTTCGGGTCTAATTACATCAGTCCCGAGCTGTAAAATATTTATGGTTTAGTATGAAAAAATTAGTAATACCAAGGAAAGTCATAGTTTTTTGCAGAAAAATGACCGGATTGACCATGGGAATGTTTTATACTGTAGCAAGCCTCTGATAATTTGGTTCTTTTGAAATTTTCAGGTGTACTTACACACTGGAAAAAAAACACATTGGATCTAGAGTCCAGACTCTTAAAAACATGGACAAGAAAAAATACTCTTGATTCAATCAGATTTAAGCTTTAATCAAGAACTAAGCCTCTTAATTTGAGCGGATTTCCTTTTGATTTAAACTTAGATCTGATTGAATCAAGAGTCCGTTTTCTTGTCAATGTTTTCAAAAGTCTGGACTCTAGATCCAATGTGTTTTTTTTTTTTCCAGTGCACCAGTCCCGAGCTGTAAAATATGTATGTTATAGTATAAAGAAATTAGTAGTGCCAAGAAAAGTCATAGTTTTTTGTGATTTTTTGATCGTGAAAAAGAGACATATTGCTTCGTCTGGAAAACGACAATTTCTTGTGAAGAATTGACGAATGGTATCACATCCCCAATGAATATTTATAAGTATTTTCGGAGACTTAAACGCCAGGATAGGAAAAGTGGTCTTTCACCATAGGTGGAGATTCCTTTCATAACTTCACCATTGGTTTGAGGGAAACCAATGAGCTTTTCAGTTGGCAACGCTGCGAAGAAGATGGCTACCAAGTTCTCCCAAGAGTCAATTGGTGGCGCGTCGCCGCCGTCGCGACGTCTAGCACGTTGCCTCATCCGTCTGGAGCGCGGCGCGGCGCGTCGGCCACTGGACACTGGTCACCGGACAACCGGTTTCGCCTGAAGAATCACTTCAATTTGTCAGGTAATCTGCCTGATAATCCCAGGCGCGAAATATTGTAACCGACGTCACTCAGCATGTCATCGGTAGCTCAAGTCGAGTCAACTCGATTTGAAGATTTCCACAGCTTTTTCCCCGTAGAGATGGATGACTTTGGATCCTCACCAAGGGAATAAATGAATCGCTTATTTCAGGCTCAGAAAGTGCACAGATTTGGAGTGAAACCCCAAATTTAAAAAAAAAAAAAACTAAATCCAAGTGAAACTTTATGATGGTGATGAATTTATTTATTTATTTTTTGGAGGAGGGGGGGGGGTTGTGGTATTTAGGTCCTAGCGAGAGCGTAGTGGCCGCAATTATGCAGCTTTTTGGTCCTGCAATGGTGCAATATGAATTTTCTTGAACCTTGAAGTTGGAAATTATTGGAAGCAAAAGAAATGTGCGCCTACCTGTGTGTGTAAGACGCTTTTACGGCGCGCTAGGGCGCTCTGCGTCACCTACCCGCCACAGGAATCTGTCACGGAAGAGATCCTCCGAAAGCTGGAATTGCTCCATTTCTTCACGGATGCCCTCTACCTACCGTTTGGCCGGATGCCCTCTCCGTCTTGCGCCTATTTGCGCCTATCAATTCACCGTAAAGTTGAAACCCATGTTTTTTC